AAAGCATTGAAAAAAGTGAACACCTAAACAATAATTATCAATGGGTAGAGAGAGAGAGTGGTCAAATGGATTTATGAAGACAAGCAGGAAGCTTAACCATTTGGTTCATATTGAGATGTTTCTGTAATCCTTTAAGTCTCAGTTGTTTGAAGTCTTGAGCTTCAAGTGTAGCTTTGATGAGAGAACACGCATACAGAGCAGAGAAGAAATAAGCTTTGAAGTATGCGATTTCTACTCTAGATATGGTGGAAGTGTACAAGAGGAGTATCTTCAGAGAATACTTCTGAGCATTGTCTGACTTTCTCCTTGCTGCTCAACATACCCCCAACCTCTATCATGGCTACGACCCCCACCATGCTGATGGCTGCCTGGTTCCTATCTCAGGCCTCCTCAGCCATCTGAACTTCCATTCTCATGTGTTTCAGCCCTCCACTAAACATCTTATCCAATCTGAATGTCACATGGAGGCCCTGTATACTACATGTGGAGAATAGAACTCATCCTCTCAAACTTTCTTCTGCATGTCCAATCTTTGTGAGTGATGTCATCACTCAGTCCTCACACTGGAAACCCCATGCTCACTCGCTTCTTCCTTTCTCTCACCTGTCTCCTGCCTTGTGCTGGTATATCTGAAATATTTCTCAGCTCTCCCCTCCACCACTGCCTTAAAATGGACCCCCTACCATCCCTTGTCAGTGCTACTGTAAGAGCCCTGGAACTGGTCTCCTTACTTGTCACAGAGCCCAGGTTTTATCCTCATTTATATCTCTAACTCTATCCAGCACTCAGGTCTATCTTCCTTTGCCAGCCATGGAACCTTACCAAAGTTACTACCTTCTCAGACTCTGTCCTTGTTATAATACCTTCCTCACGAGGCTGTCAGATCAGATGAAACAATGATAGAGTATCTATAAAGTGCTTAGCAGGTGCCCAGCACACAGTAGACATTCAATAAACAGTCACTACTGTTCATTCCTGGGGTCTGTCCTTGTACTATGCACCTTCTAGGTAAAATTTATAAATCCTTCCTCACATCTTTATTGCTTCAGGCACCTTGTCATGTATAGATAAAATTCAAACCTCAAGGGAACCAAAGCTGCTTGACTTTTGTAGGCCCTGGGTACTTTGGCCTTCATGGATTTCTTCCTCCATAAAAAATATTAAAAATTATATTTTGTGATCACATCATTATGATTTTAAAAGACATGTAAACATTTTCCTGGGTCCCTCAAAATACTGGGGCCCTAGGCATCGTGTCTACTGTGAAAAATATGTAGATCCTCCCTGAAAGGAACAAGGAGCACGTGCTTTCTCTCTCTCTCTCTCTCTCTCTCTCTCTCTCTCTCTTTCTCTCACCCGCTCCTACTCCCTCCTTCTTTGCTGTCTTTCTTTTGTATGTGTGTATATGTCATTAATTTTTGTTCTTTTGTTTATTACTGCCTTCTTTGGGTTTCCTCTTGTTTTTTTCTAACTCCTTGGGTTAGATTCTTACCTCATTAACAGTCTTTTCTCTCCCCCACCCCCACCAATATATACATTGATATAGGTTTTTCCAAGTATTGTTTTAGCACTATCTTAAACGTTTTATTAGTTTCATATATCTTCTGATGGCACTATGATTAATTATTTTACTCATTATTGTTTTAGAAGCTTTTTTAAATTGCCCAAATATATGGGCTCCTTGTGGTATTTTTATTATTGGTTTCATTTTTTATTTTTACTACTTTATGTTCAGAGATGATCTGTAAGATAGGTTGAGACTTGTTTTTATCTGTCAGTGGTTTGAATGTTTCATTTGTCCTTGTAGAGAACATGTACTTATTAGATAGTCAGATGTAGGGTTCATTAGATCAAGCTTGCTAATTTTGTTGTGAAGTTCTGCATTTTTGCTAAATTTTTGTTCTTCTGATCTGTTAAGTACTGATAGATGTATTATTAATATTTCCCACTATGATCGTTCATGTGTTGATTTTTCCTTGTAATGTGGTTAGTTTCTGCCATATGTAATTTTAAGCTGTGTTACCAGGTGTATGGTAGTTTATAATTGTTCATAGCTTCCTGGTGGATTGTTACTTTATGATTATGTAATGACTTTATTTATCCCATAAGGCTGTTTGCCTTAAATTCTGTTTTATCTGGTATTACTAGAGTCACCTCAGCTTTCTTTTGGTTATTATTTGTGTAGTATATATGTTTTTGTATCCCTTTCTACTCTATTTTATTTATTTATTTTTGATAATAGTTTTATTAGTTTCACGTAGTTTCTGTAACGATTTCCCACAATCATGGTGGTTTAAAACAACAGAAATGTATTGTCTCACAGTTAATGGAGGCTAGAAATCCAAAATCAAGGTGTTGGCCAGGCTGTAGTCTTGCCGGAGGCTCTTGGGAAGAATCCTTCCTTGCTACTTTCTAGCTTCTAGGATTGCTGGCCGACCTTGGGACTCCTTGGCTTGCAGCTATCTTCTCCAATATCTGCCTCTATTGTCAAATGGCCTTCTTCCTTCTGCGTATCTGTCTCTATTTCTATGTTCAAGTTTATGGTCTTCTTATAAAGACACCAATAATCTTAATTTGATTACATAAGCAAAGATCCTATATCCAAATAGGGTTCAAAATCAGGTTTTGGGTAGACAAAGGGACCTCATGCCTTCATAATTAAAAATTATGAAACATTTAAGGCATAAAAAAGATCTCATATCTTGTACATGTTTGAGCGCTAACACTCCAGCCTTTGAGCAATTCATCCTTCACCCATCCCAGCAAGATACAGCCTCAACTCTAATTTTAACTTCCCTATGAGAGTTTCCTTTTCTTTCTCGCAAGTTCATCTATGTATTTAAAATATGTTAAAGAATTTTTATTCACATTTCTATGTGCTTCATTGGAAAGTCTTCATGTTGTTTTAGCCTTCCATCTTGCAGGAAACAGAATTTTCTAGCACAAATGGGTTTTTAAAAATAGTTTTATTGAGATATTTTTCACAATACCATATCATTCATCCACTTAAAGTGTTCCATTTAGTGATGTTTAGTATATTCACAAAGTTGGGCAACCATCACCACTATCTAACTCCAGAACATTTCCATTATCCCAAAAGGTACCCCATACATGTTAGTAGGCACCTCACATTTCCCTCCCAAATCCTCTCAGCCTTAAGCAGATACTAACCTACATTGTGTCTCTAGAGATTTGCATATTCTGTACATTTCATATAAATAGAGTCATACAGTATGTGGTCTTTGCTGACTGGTTTTGTTTTTTTCACATAATGTTTTTAAGGTTCATCTTATAAGGTTGCAGTATATATAGGCACTTCATTCTTTTTTATTGCTAAATAATATACCACATTTTGTTTGTCCATTCATTAGTTAGTGGACATTTAGCTAACATGAATTCTGCTCCTATGAACATTTGTGTCGGCATAGCTTTTCATTTCTCTTGCATACATACCTAGGAACAAACCTGCTGGGTTATAGGATGGCTAACATAGCATCTTGAAGAGCTGCTGAGCAATTCTCCAAAGTGGCTGTACTACATTCCCTCAGCAATGTTCTATCACGAATGGGTTTAAAACCCAGCACAGGTGTTTGTGCTCAACATGAGAAGCGTTCTTGTAGATTGGAGCACAGTGAAGGTGTTTGTATTAGAATGTTAGTTGCACATTGATGTGGAGTGAGAGATTAATGACCAGGAAGCGGGTAGGAAGTAATCTGATTCTCAGTTGACGGTGCCTCTGCCAGGATGGTGGCAGGCAAAAGATGTCAGAGTTCCTGACATCTCTGTCCACATCCACAGTGGACAGTGGAAATGATTATCAGGCAGAAAAATGATGTTCACCCGAGACCGACTCTAAGATGCTTGCTCAACCTTTGCTGATCTTGATATCACAGAAAATAAATTTCTGTTTTTAGGGAAGCAGGAAAGGGAACAAATACATGTCTTGCCATTGTAATAGAAGACCATCCTGTGATCAGAGCAGACCTGTGGGCCTTTGACTTGCCTGGGAATGCCTTCCTGGGCAGTTCAGATCCTCCTAGGCTCTGTGCTGCCCACAGTGAAAGCTGAGGAAGCTGTTTACAGCCCTGGTCCATGTTCTTCTTGCCAGTGGCAGCAGTGAGACTTCGTGGATGAAGTCCTGTGTGTGCGTGCGCGTACTCATGCTGTCATGCCTGAATGTGTGTTGAGTGGCTTGATCATGTGCAATGGCAAAAGGAGATGAGAGCCCTTAACTACAAGTTTTCTAGCTGGGTAGTAAAACCTCCCATAACTCTAGGATTTAAAAATTTCTCATCAAGCTGGTTATCGTTTAATGGAACAATAGTTATAAAGCTGCCACCATCCTGGGAACTTGTAGTTGCTCAGTGAGGCTCATTACAGAGGCCTCCTACTCTATTTGGCACAATCATCACCCTTATGGGGTTTTTTTCTCTGCGATTTATTCTCAAACATTTTGTATTTCCTTTGCCATTTAGAAGAAATTTAAATAAAACTGTGAGGTAAAGAACTGTGTCAGGCTGTTACACACTTTAAAATCATGATAAAATCAATCTGTATATCATTCTCTGTTCAAATGAAGTAAAAATGCCTGCAGTTTGGCACTTTCCTGCGTTGTACCCAGTAGCTGCTGGTGTATCTAGCCTTGTAATTGCCCCATGGAGAGAGGAAAACAGGCATGAATAATAGCCCTAATTCTGTCCCATTTTCTGTTCTTGATCCCCGTTTCTCACAGCTTAGGCTCTTTCTTTTATAGACCCAGTCGATACCAGTTCCCAAAAGGAGAGTTTCCTTATTGGTAACAGCACCTAATCCCACAACTCACAGTTGCCTTGCTCTTCCTCTCAATATAAATATGTTCAGGGCATATTCCCAACATCGATAAATTGATAACTTTTTCCATGACAGGTAATGTTAACATTTCCACTGAAGCTACATATGAGCTTAAATGACATATCCTGGTATGATGGTTTTCAAATAATTTTTTCCCCTCCTTTTTCTAGGCTTATCCAAATCCCTTGGGCTCATTGAAGGTTATGGTGGGCGGGGCAAAGGGGGCCTTCCTGCTACCCTATCCCCCACTGAAGAAGAAAAAGCCAAGGGACCCCACGAGAAGTATGGCTACAATTCCTACCTCAGTGAAAAAATCTCACTGGATCGTTCCATTCCGGATTATCGTCCCACCAAGTAAGTTCTAATTCATTCATTCAGAGGCGCTTGCTTGATCGTTTGGATGGGTGTAGATGCAAGTCTGTGACATTTTCTCATATTATTTGTAACTAGTGAGAGAGCTTTTATCTCATTCTCCTCCACAGCCAGTAAACTGAGTACTGTTGATTATGAAATATTACCTAAATAAAACATGTAACTTTTTATAAAAGTAATCCAGAAACAAGAAAGGTCTGCAATACAAAAAAATTTTAAATAAAAACCAGAATTCATCATGAACTCATTACTTAGAGACAGCAACTGGTAAAATTTTAGTATATTGTCGTTGAGTCTATTTTCTCAACAAATTACGAGCATATGATATATTGTTTTCTTTTTCCATTTAAAATTATTTCATGAGCATTTTCTGATGTAATTAGTTTCAACATTATTTCCATTGTTAAAAATTTAGTTATTTTTGATTTTTTATTATTATAAATAACACTGATGAATATCTTCTCATTCAGGTCTTTATGTGTATTGATTTGAAATTTGTTTTCTTAACCCATACTTCTAAAAGTATAATTCTTAGATTACATTATAGGATTATTTTTTGAGGCTCTAGACACATACTGTGATATTTTCCTCCAGAAAGTTTACAGCGCTCTCTACTCCTACCAGAATTTTACTTGACTCTTCCAAAACTGGGTGCTAGCATTTAAAAAAATGCTTTGCCAAACCTATAAGTGAGGAAGTACATCCCATGATTTTTTGTACTTATTCTGTTTTGTCTGAGATTCTTACCTTTTAAACAGTTTGTTTGCATCTTGATCGTTATGAAAGGACTTTGTTCTGTGTGCTCAGATTTAAGAATTATTTGTTTTCTCCTCGTGAAATAGAGAAAAGAGATTGGTCATAGAATGAAGATGCTGGAGGAAAATCTATTTTCTAGGCAGGTGTCTGCCTTGGTCTCTCGAATTTTTCGTTTTCTGTTATATTTGTAGTGTTTCTCTTTTTCTATTTAGAGTGTGTCCTTGTTTAGAGCAGATTATTTCTTTTTCAAATGGATTTTGTACAAATCAGTTAAGTATCCTGGTTACTGAGAAAAATAGATTCGAGATAAAGAAAATTACCTTAAATGGATTTAAAATTGCAGGATTTGCCGAGGAAACTCTTAAATCACTCTCCCTGCCTAATAAGCATATATTCATTTTGAATCACTAGGAAAACATACATCACCCCTATTGGAAGCTATTTTGTGTTCCTGGACTTTTGCTCTCAAAAACATCTGGCTGTTTACATTTCCTGGTACGCTCTGATTAGCCTTTTTTTATTTGGACGTTGGCAAATAAACAGAGCCATATTTTTTTTACTCCTATGAGAAAGAAAATGCTTCCAACATGGAGCTTACTGGAAGTGGGTCTGTTGAACAGGTATTAAAACAAACAATAGGTAAGACTCAGTCCTTGCCTACTTGTTTCTTGTATAGAGAGGGAGACAGACATGCAGGCAGATCAGTTTAGCACAGTGTGTTCTATACGGTGTGTGTGTCAGACCAGAGATATACACAGCATGTGCAGGGAGGATCTGCTTGAGATGATGCCTGAGCTTAATTTTGATGGACCATATTTGGAAGAAAGGGAGACTACAAACTTTAAAACTATAATTAATGGCATAGCGACATGAAATACTTTACTTTGTTCAAAAAACAAAAGGCAAGTGCTATCTTAAAGTAAGCAGGGAATAAAAAAATGAATCTTGGAAATTAAAAATAATATAGAAATAAATAATTCAATAAAAGGTTGAAAGATAGCATTGAGGAACTCTTCTAAAAGATAGAAAAAAGAAATAAAAAAATAGAGAAAAAATATTTTAAAAGAATTAGATTAGTTCAGCAGATTCAATATCAACTAATACAAATATCAGAAAGAGAACAGAGAAAACAAAGAAGAAAATCATCAAACAAATGATATAAGAACATTTCCCAGAATTGTAGGACATGAGCTTTTGGATTAGAAGGTCTTACCCAGTGCCCACATGATGAATAAAAAGAAAAAGAATTAAACCCAAATCAAGAAATGTAAATTTCAGAATAGCATGGGTGAAAAAAAAGCTTTCAGGGAGAAAATGTGGCTCAAATACAGTTGATGTTGGATTTCTCAGTAACAATGTTAGAAACTAGAGGACAAGTTGAAAAAATTATTTTCAATTTAGAATTCTGTAGTCAGCCATAGAATTGTTTGTGTTAAGAGTAAGCACAAAGTAAGTGCATTACATTCATGTAGGGTCTCAACAGTTTTACCTTCCCTGCATCTGTTTTCAGGAAGCTACTCAAGGATATGCTTCAGTAAAACAAGGGAGTAAAGTGAGAAAGAGAATAATAATAATAGCATTGAGGAAACAGAGGATTCAAACAGGAGAATATTAAAAGCAGATCCCAGAAAGATGATGAAGGGCTGTTCCAGGGTAACATTCCAGAGTGATAGCTGTGTAGCAGGCAAAGAGATCAACCATTCCACATTGGAACAGGAGATGGAGGACTGTAAGAGGTATGTATCCACAGGGGGTCAAGAGATAGAATTATCTGATTACTTAGTGTTTTCGATGGCATTAAGATTTTCTAAATTATTATTTTTATTGGGGTATAATTGACATACAACACTATATTAGTTTCAGGTGTACGATGTAATGATTCGATATTTGTCTACATTGTTAACTAACCACCACAATATGTCTAGTTAACATCCGTCACCATACATAGTTACAAAATTTTTATCCTTGTAAGGAGAACTTTAAGATCTACTCCCTTAGCAACTTTCAAATATGCAATACAATATTATCAACTATAGTCACCATAATGATATACATTACATCCCCATAACTTACTTATTTTATAACTGGAGATTTGTATCTTTTGACTTTTCACCCATTTCTCCCATCCCCACTCCATACTTTTGGCAACTACCAATCTATTTCTCTGTAGCTGTGAGCTTGGTTGTTGTTATATTTAGATTCCTCATAAGTGAGATCATACAGTATTTGTCTTTGTCTGACTTATAGCACTTAGCATAATGTCCTCAAGGTCCATCCATGTTGTCACAAATGGCAAATATTCATTCTTTTTTATAGCTGAATAGTATTCCATTGTGTATAGATATGTGTATGTATACATATATACCTACACACAGGGCACATTTTCTTATTTATTCATCTATCACTGGACACTTTGGTTTTCATCTTGGCTGTTGTAAATAATGCTGCAATGAATATGGGGATGCATGTTTCTTTTTGAAGTAGTGTTTTCAATAAATACCCAGAAGTAGAATTGCTGGGTCATACGGTAGTTCTATTTTTGATTTTTTGAGCCTCCTCCATACTGTTCTCCATAGTAGCTGTACCAGTTCACATTCTCACCAACAATGCACGGGATCCCCTTTTCTCCACACCCTTGCCAACACTTATTTCTTGCCTGTTAATAGCCATTCTAACAAGTATGAGCTGATAGCTCATGATTTTGATTTACATTTTCCTGATGATTAATGATGTTGAGCATCTTTCCATATAACTGTGAGTCATCTGTGTGTCTTCTTTGGAAAAATGTCTATTCAGATCCTCTGAATTTTTTAAATTGGATATTTTTTTGCTCTTGAGTTGTGTGAGTTTTTATATAAATTGAAAATTAACCCGTTATCAGATATATGATTTGCAGATAGTTTCTCCCATTTAGTAGGCTGCCTTTTCACTTTATTGATGGTTTCCTTTGCTATGTAGAGTTTTTTAGTTTGATGAAGTCTCACTTGTTTTTTTCTTTTGTTTCCTTTGCAAGATTTTTTATAACATTCTTTTAGAAAGTTTGGGGCTGAATTAGTCTTAGGAACAGAAATTTATTTTTAAAAGCTTGTAAAAAAGCAAAGCAATTAATAGCTACAGAAAAAATTCCCTCAAGAAAAAAATTTCAATTCCATCCACTCTGTGGCTCAGCTGTGAACAATATAGTCATACAAATGTAAATAATGGATATTAATTTAGTTACAAATTATGGTATAATTATATTGGAAGAGGAAAGAGGCAAAATGTATGTGTGAGGTGGGTAGTATAAGAAAATTAAATCTTCATCTTTAGAAACAAAATCAACTGAAAATGTGTAAAATTTAAACATCAAGAAATAGTGCATAGCCATTGTTATTTAGAAACATGGTGATTACAGAAATGGGATGAGACTATATGTTTTGTTTTAATAAAACAAAAATTTAAATAAGCAAAACATGTAAATTAATATAAAAATAAGCATAAGGGTGAAAATATGGTAGAAGAAAGAGATGGAGAACTAGGTTGAGTGTCATGGCCACATTCACCTTTTTAGATTATTCTGGCAGTTCTGTGGAGGAGGAATTCGAAGGCGAAATTAGAGATACATCCGAGAGCATGCCAACAGACCATACATCGTAACCAGGGGCACCACTGTGAATTCTGGGCCCCACAGCAGAAGTTACCAGATTAACCTTTGTTAATTTCAAATTAATCCTTGCCATCACAGGGTGGTAGGTGTCTTGGCTGTCGAAGCTGCTTCTTTGACACATGAGCTCTGTGGATATGAAGGGAGGATGCTATCTGGGGCCAGAGCACCTTCCTCCTTCTTGTGCAGTCCAAGCTCAGGAGAAATAATCCCCCAGTGGGCAAGATCCTTCGTGTGAAGGTTCCAAAAATCTCTCCCAAATTTAGAAGATTTAAATTGGCTAATTTCATTGTAACTTTATATAAAACCTCATGTTGCTTTAATTCTTCTTGTTTTATTATAGTACTCCTGAGAAAACTGTTTCTATTATAAATATAAATGAATTTTTAGGTATATTTTATGCAGATGGATTCCAAAATGCTGTTTTGTTTTTTTTATTTTACTTTAATTCTGTGATTTTTTTTCCTTCCACTGGACAGATATTTTAAATTTGTATGAACCCCAAGCTGTCAATCTTTCCATTTTCATTTCTTCACTGCTTTAAAGCTGAGAAACATATCATCCCTCAGAATATTTATAAATA